CATTCACTCTTGCCGCCATTAAAAACGCCCACACGGTCATGTACGGGGTATCGTACAGCGGATGAATAGAGCATCCGCCTTGCCAACGTCCTAACCTCCCATCATCCCCACGCCACCGTCAACAGCCCCTGACTCCTGAACTCAGGGCCACCCCTACCTCCCCCGCCGCCACCTTTTCCGCCACGACATGAGACACAAAACCCACCGCGCCACGTCAGCATACGTCGCTTTGTGTCCGAGCTGACTGAGGAGGTACTTCTGCACTCTCTTTGCCCATTGCAGCTTCTTGCCTTTTAGCGGCCGCAGCGGCACCTTTGCGGTACCTCCGCCGCCGCCGCCGCCGCCGCCCGGCCTCCCGCCAGCGACACGTAACGCCTGTTCTGTGCTCGCCATCACGTCCGGGCCGCCGCCGCCATCACCGCTGCCGCCACGGCCGCCATCACCGCTGCCGCCACGGCCGCCATCACCGCTGCCGCCACGGCCGCCATCACTGCTGCCGCCACGGCCGCCATCACCGCTGCCGCCATCACCGCTGCCGCCACGGCCGCCATCACTGCTGCCGCCACGGCCGCCATCACCGCTGCCGCCATCACCACTGCCGCCACGGCCGCCATCACCGCTGCCGCCACGGCCGCCATCACCACTGCCGCCACGGCCGCCATCACCACTGCCGCCACGGCCGTCATCACCGCTGCCGCCATCACCGCTGCCGCCGCCCTCGATGGAGCCTTTGTCGTTTCCAAAGGGGCCCTGTGCCGCCGGCAGATCGCTATCAATCTCCATGCCACCGTCACGATTACCGCCGTGCGCACCGTACAACTCGCCAACCTTCAACCCGTCCTCATCTGCTCTACCCTTAACATCCCTTTTCGCCGTGTCTTTGTCCTCCTGGCCGCCGGACCGGTCGCCGTGGCCGCCAACATCCAGGAGCACGGCTTGGCGGGGACACAACCCCTGCAACCCCTGCAACCGCTGCAGCTGCTCCAGCTCCTTCTCCGTGGCCATGCGGGCGCTCCGAGACCGCACCTCCGCCAGATGGACCGAGAGGGTGTCCAGCAGCCCGCGCCGGGAGGGGTTGAGCAGTAAGGCACTGGAGAGAGGCGGGGCCCTGTCGGCGTGGGGGCCCTCCGCGGCCTTCGGGTCAGTCGACAGCATCGGCACAGGAGCTGTGCTGGGTGCTGAGCTGGCGACGACGTCGCCGCCAGCGCCTTCGCCTCCCAGTGGGCCTCCGGTAGAGGCAGCGGCAGCGGAAACCGGTCCACCTAGGGCCCCCTGATGTTGTTGCTGCTGGGGCTGTTGTTGCTGCTGAGACCGTTGCTCCAGCTGTTGTGTTCGAGACTGTTGCTGTTGCTGCTGCATGGACGTGGAAGGCAATCGTGGCTCGCGATGGCTAACGGGGGGACCTCGCGACGCGAGGGGGTCCTTGGGACCAAAGACAGAGAGAATGTCAAAGCTAGCGACGGCGCCGGTCGCAGTGGCGGCGGCTGCGGCGCCACTGGCGGCAGCAGCCATTAGGGGCGATGGAACTGCAAGAGATGAACTGCGGCAGGGTACAGGCGGCGGCACCGTTGCGGCTGCGGCGCCGACGGCTGCGGCCGGCTGCGGCCGTGGCGGCACATACCTAGCAGCTCTCTCCGTTCCGTTCGACAGCGATGATGCAGCTGCGGCGGCCGCTGCAACGGTCTTAACGTACTCTCCTGTCACAGCAGTAGCAGCAGCAGTAGCAGCTGGAAATGAGCACACGTGCACGGGTGCGGCGGCTGAAGATGCCAACCCATGCGCGGACAAACTTGTAGACCGGTGTTGAGCTGGGAATAATGGTGGTGCCGGTGGGGACGTGGCTGAAGGCGCCTCCCATGGCGTCGCCCGCCCCGCGGCCGCCGCCGCCGTTGCTTCCGCCGGCGTGTCGCCGCCTCCTGCCGTCGCCACGTAGCGCCGCTTGGCCTCGCCGCTACCGCGCCCGCCTTCCTCCGAGGTAGATGTACAGAAGTCGTCCAGCTCCATCGACGCTTTGCGTTTCAGGTGTTGACACGGCGGCTGCGGCTGGGATTGCAGTTCCGACGTCGGCTGAGTTGCCGCCGCCGCCGCCACCCTCGAGGCCCTTTCAGCGCCGCCAGCGGTGCCATGGGACCGTGCGACAGCCACGGCCCCCGAACCCGCCGCGGATACCGTGAAGGCTCCCGCCGCTGGCGCTGGCGCTGCCGCCGTCACAGACGCCGAAGCGGCACCCTCCGACTTCAGCCCTCTGTCAGCGGCCCCACGTCGCCGCCCACCACCGAATACGGGCTTTTCAGCGACTCTGGCTGCGCCGATGGCTTTGGCGGTGGTTTCGGCGCCTGTTGGCCTTAATCCTTCCGATTGTGGACGCTGTTGTTGGAGTGGTTGTATTGGTGGTTGCACTTCTACTGCAGTTGCTACTGCTGCAGCTGCTGTTGCTAGGTCCATGGCGGCGGCCGTGTTGCACGACGGCAGCGGCATGCGGGGCCAAGGCTGCAGACGGCTAGGGAGCTCCGCCACTCCGCACGAAGAGGGGGCCGCTTCGACTGTAGTGGAGGCCGAGACAAAGCTCGAGGTTCGCTGTGGCTGTGGCTGCGGCTGTGGCTGTGGCTGCGGCTGTGGCTGCGGCTGTGGCTGTGGCTGCGGCTGTGGCTGCGGCTGCGGCTGTGGCAGCGGCTGCGGCTGCGGCTGTGGCTGTGGCTGTGGCTGTGGCTGTGGCTGTGGCTGTGGCTGTGGCTGTGGCTGTGGCTGTGGCTGTGGCTGTGGCTGCGGCTGCGGCTGTGGCAGCGGCTGTGGCTGTGGCTGCGGCTGTGGCAGCGGCTGTGGCTGTGGCTGTGGCTGTGGCTGCGGCTGCAACAGCGGAAACGGGGAAGGTTCCTTAAGGGATGGCGGCGGAACTGTTTGTCGCGGCGGTGGAACCACCGACTTCACCGGCGGGATGCCCAGCGGCGCCGCCACGGCCCAGGAATGTGACGCCGCCTCCTCTGCCGCCACAGAAAGCGCCGCGACAGCACCTGCCACCGGCTCCTTCCGCCGCCTCCATGCCGCCACCAGCGCCTCCGCTGACCCCACATCCCACCGTCGCAGCCGCTGTCGCAGCTTTGCCCACTCGCCGTCGGCCCAAAGGTATCCCGTCAGGGCGTCGTACAGCTTTTCACGCAGCTCGTCGTACTCGTCTGCATCCTCCTCCGCCTCCGGCACGTCGCATCGTGCATCCTCTGTCGGCAAGGTGGCCTGCTGCTGCTGGCGCTGCTGCACCTTCCGTTGCTCGTAGTGCTGCTCGAGCAGGATTTGGCAGCGCTGAAATAAGACCAGACGTGTAATGGTGAAGCGCAACTGGGTGCAATGAACGAAGAAGGAGAACGTAAGTGGAGGGCATTGAGGAGGGAGATAGATGGAGGAAGAGCCGGATCTCAAAAGTGATGGGGGATTTGGCAGCGCTTAGCCGGCAAACCGTGTGTGAGCTCCAGCTAGGTAGTTTCGCTCCTTAGTTCTCTTTTTCAATCGGACCCCTAATGTTGTGTCATATGTGGTTGTGGACTGAAGGTTGGATTGGCAGAAGTTTTGCTGTCGCGGTGTGCGGGACGGCTGTATGACCCAATAAAGTATAGCTGGGCAAGGGGAAGCTCGTGCCAGCCTGTCCACCCCACAATTAGCTCCCCGAACTTGCCTCACATGCAGTCACGTGGCGCAGAGATCCTTCCAGCATGCGTGAGGCTTGCTCCGCTTCGGCATGAGTCCACTGCTCGTTGTTAGGCACGCAGTCCAGCACGGCCGACAAGTCAAAAATCTCACCGTTTCCAGCTCTCAAATCCTCTGTCCTCACCAAGACGTTTCCCTCTGCAAGGTCGGTTGCGTGGAAAGCAAGAAAGGTCTTGCACACACAACAGTCTATTGGACGGGCAGTATGCTAGACAGCAGTGCGTCCCCCAAATGCCTTCGTCCTTTAGGAGTGGAAAACTGCAAGACGGCGTACAACGATAAATACCGTACTCACCAAGTGACATGACACGCCGTAAAGTTATCTTCGCGCCATCGTCAATTGCGACAAGCGTGCCCCTCAGAGCCGTCGCAGGGTGCACAGGAAACCGAAGGTGCTCCAAGGCTTTCAACGTAGTGAAAAGCCTTGTAATATCAGACCGGCTGACAAGCAGCATGGCCAAAAGCTGTCGAGTTGGAAGCATGCGTAATACCAGGCTGCCGCCTTGCGCTCCCCTGCGTTGCTTAAACGTCATCGCGTGATCCGTACTCACTACTAACTTATTGTGGGGAAGGCCATTGCGTCTGCGACCACACTCCCGCGGTACCCAAACCCTTCAAAGACAATTCCGATCAGCCATTTGGCTGTTAGTGGGAGGGCGGGTGGGCCGCTCGCACGGCAATCGAGTAGAGAGTACGAAAATAACCTAATGCAGTCATCGACAGCAGAAAACGTAAGCCTCCAGCCTCATGCCGACTCTCTTACCTACCATTCATATTCTCTACCTCGTTCCCAAGACTCCGCCGCGTTGCCTCTAGTTCGGCTCGTGCCACAGGTAACTTCGCTCGTCGCTACTTTGCCATTCACCTTCGCCTCCACCCAGCCTCTGCTTCTCCACAGAAGCGGCGACCTCCTTCGCCGTTGTTACGCCTCGTCTATGCGAATCCTCCTCATCCGACTGTGTCTTCTGCCTACCCGGTGCGCGCCCCCTCTCTCTGCGCATCCTTTTCTCTGGCCCTCTCTTACGGTTGCCTACCTTACTGCAGGACTCGCCCCTTGCCTGTCCGGTGCCGGGCAGGCTTTCCTTGCCTTCCCCGGCCCTACTTGGGGCGCCCCTCCTCGGCTCGTCAACTACCTTACTTCCGTCCGTTCCTGCCCCTCGGGGGCCCAACCCCTCCGCCCTTTCCGTGGGGCCGACGCCCGCTCTGGACTTATCTCACGCCCCCGGCCTCTC